CCACCAGCAACTGTTCCACTAAATGAACTCAGATTAACCAGCACAGTGACGCTGGGAAGAGCAGTGCAAAGCAGACCACAGGCACAGAGAGGGAAGGGATCAGAAAAGGGCAGTGCTGGTACAAAAGCACTGACTGTCAGCTGTGCTTTGATCTAAGAGCCAAAGCTGTCAGGGTTTGTTCACTTCCACTTCTCTAAGCAGAGAAGCAGAAAACTGCAAGCTCATCTTGCCCCAGCTCACTCCCCAGACAGCACAGGAACATGCAATGAGGAGAGCACACTGAAAAGGGGGAGGGATTACTGCCCAGCTCTTTGATTTATTGCATTTTTTTAAACCATAAAACACTTGTCTTGATTTGGGAGGACATCTCTGGGGGGTGGGAAAGAACCCACCCCAAACCCACAGAAACCAGAGGCCTCTGGACACTTCCTCTGAGACTACAAGGTGCAAATAAACAGCATTCCTGCCATCCTCTGTGGCAGCCACCAGGCTTATCAGAGCTTCAGGATGACATACCTGGCCTTCTTTAGTAATAAAGATCATCAGGTCCTGAACTTTATCATTATCCACATCTGGAATCACTGATAAAGGAGTCAGCACAGTGTAATTAGCTCCAAAGTCACGGGACTGCCTCCACAGAACTTCCCCTGGAACACAGTGGGAAACAGTCATTAAAAGGCATCTTAGGCTGAAAGGTTATTACTGCTCCTGTCCAGCCCATCAGCACCACAAACCAGCCACATCTATGCTGATCACGGGGTACTTCCTTGCTTTTCTGCATTCCCAATGAATCCCAGTATCCACAGTTTCCTCTGACATTGGAAAGCAATCCCAGCTGCCAGCAGGAATGCACCCAAACACCCTGGCACAAAGAACAGCTTGCCTCCCTTGTGCCTTTGGTTAACAAGCTTCCCAGCACGTTCATGGCAGGGAAAAGCCTTTGCTGTGATCTAAATCCCTGCTGCTGTGCACTTAAATCTGCACAGACATTTTAAGACCATAAAGCAGCTGAATTCTGACCAGGGCTGCTGCAACTCCTGGCAGAACCTTCTTTGCTGCAATTTGCCTCCTGCAGATGTTCCTGCAGATGTTTCCCCACTGACATGACCAGCCCCAGCTCAGGCCACATCCCACCTCTCCCTTGTCTGAAGAACACACAGCCCCCAAACTTATTTGTACACTGAGATAACAAAAGATTTGTTTTTTAACAAACAGGGGGGTGGCTGGTGTGGGTTTCTCTTCAACAGCTCCAGAGCAGTTGAGTGGCTCTATCCATCCAGTGCCCACAGCTGTGGGCCACTTTCCAGTCACTGCCCAGTGGAATTTGCAGTGGAATCTGGCAGGGAGGACACTGCTGGGGGATTTTCTTTCTAATGAACATTTCAGTGTCTGATTAGGTGCTCCCAGGGCAAATGTTTACCCTCCCCTTTACCCAGCATCACACACAGCAATTATCATTTCAGGAATGCAAAGTAATCATCTGCTCTTTGTCAGGAAGGCAGCTGGACTGAAAGCCGAGGAATTACTACTTGATGCTGTCTGCAATAATTTAAGGCAGGCTGTATTTCTAGTAGAATTGCTCCAAAGCTTTTACTGCAAAGCTGAAAAAACCACTTGGATTTGTTACTATGACAACAGATGTGAAGTGAAGAGAGCAGATTTCCTGGTTTCCTTAGGAAATCATGGCAAGGCAGAGAATTTTGCCCTCGAAGAAAATAAGCAGGAAAAAGAAAGAATTGAAGTTTTAAATTACCACATTCTAGCTCCAGGACTGTCCAAAGGTACAAGAGTAAGACCATGCTAATGAAATTCACTTGTCAGTGAATTTCTAGGCTCTAATTTTCCAGGCTCTAATCTTGGGTGGTTAGACAGCTGACAGAGTTTGGGAGAAAATATCTTATTCTCTTAAAAGAACAGTCTGAGTCAGGAGAAACAGGTGACAGTGAGCTGGATTCAACACCAAGCATTTGAGAGGTTTTTCATGCTGTAAGCCAGCCCAGAGGGAGCACAGGAAGCAGAAGATGGGACTGTCATCCCTGACATCTGCAGTGCCTCCTCAGAGCCCAGGGTCACTGCTAGAGGAGCCAAGATGGAAATCAGGCAAGTGCCCAGACTGCAAATCTAACCTGGGTGGAAGGGCTGGGGTTTTTTTGGTCGGGAAGGAATAATAAAATCAGAACTCAGAAGACTGAGCTCAGCTCTCACTTCAATCAGATGCAGAGACTTTTCTCCCTGTCAGATTTCTCCAGGTTGGAGTTCTGGTTTGTTTATTTAGTGGTTTCTCAGACAGAAGCAGTTCCATCATCTGATCATCATGGTGCCCTTTCTGCCCAACCCCTCAGGAGACCAGAACCACCCACAGGGCTCACTGTTCAGGCTGCTGGAGGATCAGATGAAGAGAGAAGATGTAACAAAACTCTTACTGCTGTCCTCTTTCCTGAGACTCTCCCTCAGGCTATGGCAGAGATGGAATAATGAACAGCTACAAAGACTTTTGCTTTGACCTGGAACAGTTAATCTTAAGCTCCTATGTGTCCCAGTTTGCTGGGAAGATAAACATGCAGGAATGTTAGATGTCCCACACAAACAGGAGCATGCCCTCCTACACTTCCCTTCCTGCCCACTCTGGTCACTCCTTGTGGCAATGAAGAAAGCAGGACTTAGAACAACTTCAACTGATAAAAAAGCCACTAACTTTATCAGCATTTAAAGATCAAAACCACATCAGACACATTCAGATGATAATCTGCCTATCTCTCCTTCAATCTTCCTACAGGCAGGGGCTAGACAGCCTGAGAGCCCTGGAATCTCACCAAATCCTCCACGATGATGAATCATTAACAGCTAAAGATTGTGCTGGCTACTGTTTTTAGCACACTGTGATGTAAGTTAGACTTTGCTTCTTTGAATACATTTAGCCTATTTAAATACATTTTATTCTGCTCTGCCCTCCTAACCCCCAGTCAGCTAAGCTCAGAAACCATTTTTAACCTACTTAATAGCAAAAAGGCATTAAATAGATAAACTCCTGGGTTACTCACTTTTCTGATGCATTTTTTCCTCTCTTGCTTTGAAGTTATCTATGGAATGTTTTCTTCCCTGTATTGCTGTGACCTGTAGCTTAGCCTGGCTCCTCTCCACACTTGCCTTTATGGCTGTCTTTAGTTACAAGCCTTTGGCTCCACAGCCAACTTTCTACACTTTGACCTGAATGTACCTACTTCATTAATAGTCTAAAAATAACCTGTGCTAAAGCCTACACATGAGGGAAATGGTGATAAGAGGTCTCTGCTGGTACAGAAACTTTCTAGCTCTGTGTGTATCTACACTTCCATCTATACACTAGAAATTTAAACCTACACCTGATTCTCCTCAGATTCCTTAGAGCTGTACCTCCTGCTATTCTTTATTCCAAATTTTGGAAAACAGGATGTGATACAAAGAATGGCATCCCAGGGAGAATATATATTGTTTAGACCTTTGAAAGAGTGACCTCCAAGATAGAAATGTATTTTAGGCCTCACCAGCAAGGAGGGTTCAAGGTGCAGCAGATGATCACTGTTCCTAAAGTAGTGCAGGCACTCCTTACCCCCACCCACGTTAGGCAAGATGATGATGATGAATTTCTCCACCTCTAAGTTTAGAAAGGAAGAAACCTTTCCAGAGGAACTACGCAGAATTGTAGACTACTGAAACAGCCTGGCAAACACTTATCCTAAGTGCTCTCCTTGACAACTTTAAAGTCATAAATGCCTGGAACTCCCACTCCTCCTGCCACAGCAGGCACTCCTGGCACGCACACACAAATAACTGGGAAACGTTGCAGGTGCAGTTTGTGCCTAACCCTGGGGAGCATAAAGTAACACAGCTAGTGACTGCTCCAACTGCTTCAAAAGCTCTTGGAACACTGCTCTTATGAAACAGTGGCTGGCACAAACCCCCAGCAAACCTTTGGAACAGCGAGGCTGAGAGCACGCGCTCCTCAACGCCCAGCAAGCAGCTCTGGCAAGGCTTCCAAACAATAAATAAATCCCCAGTGCCATGTTCTTCATGTTCATGTCACACTGACATCCCTCCTGGAGGCCACCAGGTGAGGAAAGCAAGTGGCCCAAGCCCTGTGTGGCAGCAGGGCTCTGCTGGCACTCACCTGTGTTCAGGCCGACTGCTGTGAGGGACAGTGGCCTCTCCACCACGATGCAGCCCGGGGTTGCTGCTGTGCCCAGCTGCTGGATGTCACACTGCAGCCACTGCACCTCCTCTGCAGCTGGGCTCTCCCAGAGCACGCTGCCATTCCTGCCAGACACTGCAGCGACGAACGCACAGGGAGATGGCAGCCCTGGGGACAAGAGGGGTCAGAGGGAGCTGCCCCTGCACCAGCCAGGAGCTGGGACTCAGCCAGCTCCTCTCCCCAGCCCCTCACTGGAGCTGGAAGAGAAAGGACAGCCCTCTGTGGATCAGGTACCTTCATCCAGACAGGACACGTTGAATCTGCTGCTGTCGCCAGATTTGAATGCAAAGAGCACATCTTGTACTTTGTCTTCACTCACATCTGCTATAGCAAGGAACGGGTAGGGCACTGCAAGAGAGCACAAGCCAGGCTCTGGTGAGGATTTCCTTAGCCCACAGCAGAGAAAGCTGGAGCAAAACACAAATTCCTAGAGACCTACTCACTGCCTCCATCCTGGACAGTGTAACATCAGGACAAATTGGCTTTTATATGAAAAAAAATCATGTACACAAGTACCAAGGACAGGAAGTTAGTGCCAAACAATTTTTTCAATTTGCTGTTCCCCAGAGGATGTCTTTTTTTAAGAGGCAAGCAGCCAGAATTTGAACTATGCTGAACAAAGAACAACTGTGATCTTGGAGTGGGGCTGGTATTCTCAAAGCATAAGGAAGCCCCACCCAAGCCCCACAAAACCCAGATACTCCATATTTTTAGCAGCTAAAAGCAGTTTTCCTAAGCTCAGAGTAGCAGCACCTGGGGTGTCTGCAGCACCACACACAGCTCAGTCCCTGCTGTGAGCACTATCTCTGCATTTACAGCACATCCAGCACAACGTACTGCACACAAGATTAAAGAAAAGCTCTCCCAGAAACGACTGCAGAGCCACTGGGGAGCAGGACCCAGGCTGAAGGGCCAACTAAAGCAACCAGAATAAAAATAGCTGTAATAACTACAGAGCAATTTATTAAAAAAACAAGATGGAATTATTCCTTTTCCCTTCATGTTGGCTATGGGGAAAAGGGAGAAAGTCAAAGTGACAGAGGAAAAATGTCTAATTGCCTCCAACCTCAGCTTGAACTCCAAAGGAACATTTTAAAAAGCAAGCTTCAACAGAGGTCTTTTCCCAGATACGCTTTCTCTTTTTTTTTTTTTCTGTGATTGAGGCCACCCTGCTACCTTGTTACCACTTCAGAGCAGAATTTAATTTCTCCACCAGGTCCTGTAAACACCTCCTGGAAGGCCACTCCAATTATGATGGGCCATTGCTTATCCAGGTCAGGTATTCACAGCTGTGGCTCCCAAGGGCTGCATCCCTGCAGGTCTGTGCTTAGGCAGAGGCCCACAACCCAAATCCATGGCACAGAAAGGAAAAGGACTCTAGGTAAGTATTTATCCTGCTGCAGCAAGCTCACCTGTTTTGTTGTAGTATTGGAACCATGTTCTTTCTGAAACTGGCCTCTCTGGGCAGGGAATGATGAAGGAGAAAGCAAACACAATGATGAGGCAGAGGAAGAGGGAGATGAAGAAGGCAGCAGTGCGCCAGCGGGACAGCCGGGACAGCCCCGAGGACTTGACAATCCTCCTCTCCACGCAGTGCTCATGGTTCTCCTGAGCTTTCACATCCTCTGTCTTCAGAGGGTGGATCTCAGCTTCTGAGTCCTTGTTATCCATCACAGCTCACTCATGGGTGTTCACACACCCTTCTCCCCCTTCACCTGCAACAATGGAAAAAGAAGTTAAAACACATTTTGAGATATATTTTAAAAACACCAATTAAAATATTCTGTTACTACCTGATATTCACACTGGAAAGATTTCATGGGAGGTGAGCACAGCAGTGCACTGTCACAGAGCTGCATACAACACACTGCTGGTGCTGGAGGTCTCCCACACAGAGAGCTCATGGAATGCAGGAACAGCATCAATTCTTCCCCAGAGGAGGAAATCAGCTCTGCTGGAGCTGGACAAAGAAGGCTACAGAGCCCACACAGAAAGGACTGGCTGGTCTGCAGGTCTCCCTAGGAGAAACACCCCAAAAGATCCTTTTGTTGCAAAGACTTGTTGCCACATCGGGTGTATGTCAGCCTGGCTCCCAGCTGGAGAGGTGAAAGGAAACACTTGTGACCTTTATATCCCAACATAAGGCTGCTCCCCACTGTAATGTGCACTTGAGCTTCCCCAGAGGGAGAGAAACAAACACCAGAGTTCTCTGTATAGGAGCAAAGCAAAGCTCTTCAACACCTGCTTACATGAGAAACCACTGGGTAAGTTCAGCAACCCAGCCCTGCAGAAGGCAAAAGTGATGATTTCCCTCCCCAAAGAAAAAACAAGGCAGGAGCTGAGACTAAAATCAGGCAAATCTGATTTCATCACACTGGAAGAGTTAACAACTGCTATTTTAGCTTCTCCTGCTATAAATCATAACCTTGGGCTACAACTAAAATAAACAGAGGGGTTCTGTGCTAATTTGCTATAAAAAGTGGGGGAAAGAGTCCTAGTGAGTTAGAGGAGCCTGTAAGTCATTAGCCACAACAACAGTAAAAATCCATGTTTTACACAGATTCTCTGATAGTGCTTCTTTAAAAAAAATACCACAAGGGAAGAAATAAAGAATAACACATTCCAGCAGTCTTGGAAAAAGCTGCTTGACAGTGTTATGAAAAGTTATATCAGAGCAAATAACCACGACAACCAAGCCAATTTTCCATGACTGTGCCCCAGCAGTCACGTGTCTGGGTTGTCCACTGCAGCCATTTACTTCCCCAGCAGAAAAGAGCTTAAAGTCAGCACCAACACAGGGCAGAGCATGGGATTTCAACAGCAACAGGGCTCATGTGTCTCACGTTTCTACCCAAGCTCATTTACAGGTTCTGTGAAACACAAGATGAGTCACCCTGGAGAGGCTCTGTGTGGCTGCCCAGGCTGTCCCTGTCCCACTGCAGAGGCTTCTTCTCTTTTGGGTACAAATCACAGGGGGACAGATCCATGGCAAGGCAGCCCTGAGGCACAGAATCAGCAGATCAGCCTGGCACTGCCAACCCCTTAACCTCAGAGCCTGCTGGACTTAAAAGCTCTTACTCCCACCTGAGCACTCTGGCATTTGTTCTACATCAAGTACAGGATCTCACTCCAGATAATTTAATTCAACCTGCACAATACTATGCAAACAAATCAATAATGCAGAAGTTGCATCTTGTTCCAAAGATCTTCCTTCAAGGACTTCATCTGCCCTTCTCATCAGCCCACCAGGCACACCAGGGACAGCTACAGGAGCCTGGCTGTTCCCAGACCAACAGCAGGCACCTGATGGGTGGGAAGGCTCCAGATGGAAAGGGGAACAGCAGATCAAGAGGTGCTTTCAGCCTTTGAGCTGAGCATTGCTCCTTCAGTGCACCAGGCCTTGAGCAGGTTCAAGGTGCAAGATTCCAGGCTCAGGTGAGCAAATGATTTACTGGCAAGGAGCAGCCACGGCCACAGAGACGGGGACAGTGGCAGGAGTGAGTTCTGTGCCCTCCCCTGTGCTGGGGCAGCTGGCTCGTGTGTCCCTGCATCTCCAGCAGATGGAGAGGGGAAACTTCTCACAGCCAGCACCCACAGCATGGGCTGCAACAGGGCTCCAGCACAATCCCACCAGCCTCTCCAGCAGAACCTCCACAGCCTCCCAGTACAGAGCTGGGAAAGATCCAGTGTCGCAGACATCCTTTTCACTAAAAATCCTTTCTTTAGGATTTTCCCTTCTAGGAAGCCGAGGCCCCAGCAAATGAATGTAAACAATGGTTATCTGCTGCTGTGGAATGCAACAGGTGCATCTGTGATTGGCCCATCTTGGATGTTTACAATTAATGGCCAATCAAGGACTGAGCTCCCTCGGACAGAGTCGGAGAGAGCTCCTTTGTTTTCATTCTTTTCTATTCTATTCTTAGCTTAGCTAGCTTCTGAGAATTTTTCTTTCTTTTCTTTTTAGTATAGTCATAATGTAGTATATATGTAATAAAATAATAAATCAAGCCTTCTGATCATGGAATCAACATTCTCGCCTCTCTCTCATCCTGCAAACCCTTGGGACCACGGTCACAATCCAGGGCATATCAGCACCCACGAGACTTCCCAAAAGGAACCAAGCCCAGGTTTCTCCCTTCTCTGTCCAAAAGGGACACCACCTAACACAGCACTGATGGCATCTTTTTATGACTCACTATAAATCTCAGCACTGTCATCTAGCCTGGGATGAGAACACTGAAAAAGCAGTAATTATCCTGACAGCCCCAGTAATTCCCCTCTTTTCTGCAGTGATGACCCCACAGAGCCACCGAGCACAAAGAGCCCTCAATGCCTTTAAAGCAATTCTCTCTCTTTTCTTGCAGGGTTTGAATAATGCCCTCTGCACCCCTGCCAGAGCAGAGGCAGTGCCAGAACGAGGACCACGAAGGTCAATGGCCAAGACTCAAACAATGCAGGAAATCCCAGTGCCTGTGCTGCCAAAGTACATGCTGGCAGCATGGGGAATGGCCTGAGCTCCACAACAAAGGGGGCTGCTAATCAGTTTAATTGAAGACAAGCAGAAAATGATAGTGTGCATCTGAGATGGTTTTACTGTCCTCTAGCAACTGACATCTTGTCTCCTGCTGGAAGAGGACACAAAATAACTCAGCTGGAAGTTCAACACATTCCTTTCAGGGGAGCAGAAAGGGACAGGATTCTGTGTTGCTGCAGTGTGACAACACACCACCTGCAGCAGATCTGGGGACAGGAGAAAACATGGGAGAAAGACCTTGTAGAAGGAGAAATAATTAGAAAACACATGTGACAAACCCAAACTGAACCCACACAGTGCCAGGATGTGCATCTCAGACTCAGCTTTAAATGTTGCTTCCCCCAGCCATGGAATGAGCTGGGAGCAGCCCCCAGCCCAAGCTGAGGAGGAACAATCACCCCTTCCTGTACCACAGTAACAACAGGGACAGCACAAACACAGCTGTACTCACCTCCACTGTCCTGTTTCCTGCAGCCACAGTGCAGATTTACAGATCTGATCTGCCTCAAACCAGAGACTTTTGCACAGCTAAACCCAAGGGATAACCATCAGCAGCAGTCAGACAGAACTGCCTGACAAGCACAGAGAACCACAGACAGTCAGGTGGATGGAGACTGGTGACAGAAATCATTTAAGGATCCGTGCATTGGAAAGGTTTAATTCATTTTCCACTCATAACACACCAAACCACAGCATCTGGAATGTCACCAGGCACCAGCTCTTCCCAGAAAATTTCTAGCAATATACTGTAACTCAGATTTGATGTTCAACACATTTTTGTCTTCCACAGAATGATGAAATCAGGTTCTGACTGGACATTTTAGGAACACAAACACAGCATTTGGCTGGTTTGGTTCTGTCTGGTTGGTTAGTTCAAGCACCTCAGAGGTTTCCTTCCAGTCAGCCAGAAATTGTTGAAGCCCCAAGCTGCAATCAATAAAGACAAACCAGCCAAGCTTTGCTCTGAATAGGATGCAACATTCCCATCACAGCTATTTTCCATGAGGAAAAGATCCCATGCACACTGTGACACTGCAGCAAACTCACTGGCTGTGACATTCAGTCACATTCACCTGCTGTGACATTCAGCCTCAGGTCATTTGTTCCTTTTCCTGAAGTCCCACTTACATCAGAACAAGAAGAAATAACATGTAAGAGTTCCCAAAACCAGCTTTGCTCTCCCAGAGGCACTCAGGCTGCATGCTGCACTCAAACTTATCATTTTGCTGGGTCATCTGCAGCTCACAGCTCCCTCCTGACAGCAGGTCACAGCCAGGGCTGGCTGGGGACACTGACCTGAGGAGACCATCCCTGTGTGACACTGGGCCTTTCTAAGGACACAGCTTGTAACCCAAACCCCACCAACGAGACTGGTGAGGCCCTGGCACAGGTTTCCCAGAGAATCTGTGGCTGCTCCATCCCTGCAAGTGTCCAAGGCTGGGCTGGACAGGGCTTGGAGCAGCCTGGGACAGTGCAGGATGTCCCTGCCCATGGCAGGGGTGGGATGAGATGAACTTTCCAAATCAAACCATTCTGGGATTCTCCTGCTGGAGCTGCCCTCAGGTTCTTCTGAAATGCCATTTAACCCTCCAATACAGACACAGCACACACCACAGAGCACTCACAGCAAGGCAATCAGACACTCCTCCAGAGCACAACCACCTTGACATCTGTCATTTGTGGGAGAAAACTCTCATCCAGGGCAGTTTTCACTACAGACAGGAGCTCACATACAGAAACTCAAACTGTTCAGGGAATAGCAAAACAAAACCCAGCACTATTTCCATGAGAGCAATGGGAAGATCAAAATTCTCAGATGAAGAACAGCATTGAAGCTGCATGGGACTGATTACAGGTCAGGCCAGTAATAACAACTGTGCTGAAGAAACAGCAGCCATTTATCATCCCTGGTGCAAGCTCCACTGCACCCAAGCCACTCCTCTCACCAAGTGTTGCAGATCCAGTGTGCCAACTCCAAAGGCAGCTGTCAGTGGGGTGCTTGAATCTCCCAAATCACAGACACCCCCAATTCTCATTGAGACACCCCCACATCACCCCCAGGACACCCCCTTGCTCAGAAGCACAGTGACACCCCTCACTGCCAGAGACTGAGCACACAAGGGACTCTGCAGAGATCTCTGTGCGTGAAAACTCCCTGGAATTTGGTCATTTCATGTGGATTTATTCAAAAGACAAAAAAAGTACCTTTTTTAGGTGAGGCACTCACTGCACAGGTCAGAATTCCGTGCTGCCTCCTGCACAGCCTGGAGAGATTTATGGCAGGGTGAAAGGAGTGTTCAAAGGCCAGGTTGGATGGGGCTTGGAGCAACCTGGTCTATGGGGCAAGATAATCTTTATGGTCCCTTCTAACCAAAACCACTCCATGATTCCATGAAACAACAGCCTTCCTCCACATGCTGCTGTCCTTCACAGCCACCTTCAAGAGAAACCACTTTTCTTCCCCCAGAAATGGAATTTTTCTTTCTGTCACTTACACACAGAGCAGAGCTCCCTCATCACACTCCCATCCCTGGGGAGCCCCTGAGCTGCACTGTCAGCCCAATCCTGCCCTGGTACAGGGAAGGGCTGGCTCCAGTCCCTCCCTGCAGGACAGGCTGCCTCTCTCTCTCTCCCAGCTGTTACACAAGACATTTCTGCCTTACAAAATGAAGAGAAAAGGCTGGAAATGAGGTTGGAGTTGAACATATTGCAGTGTCTTTCTTAGGGCAAGAATCCATGTAATTCACACCTGCAAACCAGAATTGGGGGCTCCTGAGGGAAAGAGGAACAGGGCTTTCACCCTGTCCAGGAGGAGACCATGGCTGTGCTGGGCTCTGCAGAGGTGAGGGGCTCACTCTGAACTCTGTCCTGGAGGGGAGTGTGGCTGTGCTGGGCCCTGCAGGGTGAGGGTTTGCTCTGAACCTGTCCCGGAGGAGATTTTGGCTGTGCTGGGCACTGCAGAGGTGAGGGGCTCGCTCTTGCTCTGACTGAAGCCCAGCCCCGCAGTCCCAGCGGCTGCGTCAGCAGCGCCCCAGGAGACCTCAGAGCCGCCAGCCCCGGGATAAAGGAGTTCGGATCACAGGGAGCACCTTGGGCTTTGGAAGAAAGGATTGAATTCTTTCCCAGGCTTCTCGCTGCGGTGTGAGGGCACTTCTGGAGCTCTCAAGGCGAACAGTAAACCCTGCTGAGCCGGTAGGGCAGGCCCAGGCCGGGCTGCAAGCGCTGCCAGCCGCGGGCTCTCACCGCCCGGCCCCGGCCCCAGCACCAGCACCGAGCCCAGCGCTGCCGCTGCCGGCCCCACGCTCCCGGAGCTGGCGGCAGCGCGCGGGCAGTGGGGACGCTTCAGGAGCCGGCTCCGTTCCCGAACGCGCGGTGCCAGTGCGGGGACATTGCCCGGGGACATTGCCGTGCTCTCAGTGCGCCCCCACGGAGGCGCCGGGAGCCCACGGTGCGGCGGGAGCGGCCAAGGGCAGCCCCAGGTCTCCCCCCGGCCCCCGCCCGCCCCGCTCCGCACTCACCCCGCGTCGCCGCCGCCGCCGCCGTCACTTCCGCCTCCATCCCCGCCCCGCCCGCCGGAGGTGACGTCACCGCGCAGGGCGCGCTTCCGCTCGGTGCGGCGGGGCCCGGCCCGGTTCGGTTCGGTTCGGGCGGCGGCGCGGGCGGAGAGCCCGCAAGAACGAGTCCGGGCAGCAGCGGGAGCCACAAACACAGATCTTTAATGCGCTCAGACCGCGGGAGAACAGCACGGGCACGTACAGGCACCCCGAGCGCGCGCCCGCCGCCCCCCGCGCCCCACACGGAGGTTACAAAAACAACACGTGAAACCGCGGAATTCATCGTAAAAACGGACAGGGAAGGGGGGCATGCACTAGGGACCGACACCGGGGCAGCACCGCGGCGGAACCGGAGCCGCGTTCGGGGGGAGGCAGAGAATGGAGGGAGGGGAGCGCCGGCCGGAGCCCGGCCCTGGGAACGGCAATTAGCGGCGGTAATGAACCGCGCTAACGAGCAGCTGCCCGGCTCCGGCCTCGCCGGGTGACAGCGGCTGCGCTCGCACCGATCCCACAAAATGCCGGGCCCGGGGTCGCGGCTGGGGCTGGCACTGCCCTCGTGGGGAACAAGCCGAGGTGCAATCAGCGAGTGACAACGGCAGCGGCTCCCAGGGCGTGGGGACGCGGCCGGTGCCGCTCTCCCGGGAGGGACACGGGCTCCAGCCCCGGTCACCTCGGCACATTCTGCCTGACTGGCCTGGAACACAGCAACGCCCTGGGCTGCAGGGCAGAAAGCCCCGCGGGCAGCTCTGGCTGCAGAGAGCACAGGACAGAGGCAGAGGAGCTGTGGCTGTGCCTCCCTAGAGATGACAGCAGCCAGGTTCCCACTGCTCTGCTCACACCAACTCAGCTATCTGAACTGTAAAGGTACCAAAACCAGAGTTAAGCCCAGCTTAGAAACATGGTTCAGCTCATCTGGTCATCCTCAATGACAAACAGCTTTCAGAATAGATCAGGGCCAAATTTTATCTTTTTTGCCTTAGCTGGGCAAGTGAGGCAACTCTCAAGTGCTGGAGACATAAAAATGAGATGGCTAAGTACTAAAAGGAAGAAAAAAAAAAGAAATCTGATTTTTTTTTTTTAACATATATAAACAGAAGGAAAAAATATAATTGAGAACCAGTGCTACTGGTGTGCTCACAGAGGATCAGGAGGGAATTTTGGAAAGGGCTGAAGCATTACAAAGGTCAGGGCAGCTCAGGGCTCCAGGCACAGCGTGGCCCTGACCGCTGAGTCAGGACAAACACGGGGTGTCCACACTGGCCTGGACTGAAAACCATCCATCCAGATTTATTTAATTCCTACTAAAACAAAATCCTGTTAAACAGTACGTAACTCTTGTGTCTCTACAAACTCACAGCTATCTGCCAAACAATAAAAATCCCAAACTACAAAAGATGAGTTGTATTCAGTAAATATAAATGGGAAATTTAGGCTTTGTGTAGAATGTTTATCAGACTATTTACAGTGCAACACAGATCGTTTGAGTTCAGATCTCGCCAGCTTCTCTCTCTTCTGACCTCTTGGAACGAGATTTGCCATTTGTGCTCTCGTGCCTCCTCTCAGAAGAGCTCTTCTCTTTCCTCTCTCTGTCTCGGGACTTTTCTCTTGAAGATCGATCTCTAGAAGATCTGCAGTACAAAGCAAACCATCGCTATCAGCTTCACAGTAAACACTGTCAACTCCCCACCGAGCAGAACTTTCCCTGGCAGGGCTGTGGGATGCAGGTTCCCTACAGGAACGTGCCTGGCTGCTGTGCCACGGGGAGAGGGTCCCCCATGAGAGCAGCTCTGGGCCCTCTGTGAGGTTTCCATGCACAGCACAGCCTTTGTTCCTCCTTCCTCTGAGTGATCCTTTCAAGCTGTTGCCACAGGAGCTCTCTCAGGTCTTCCCTGTGCCCCTCATTATTTTTCTGGGCCATCCTGAGATGCCTACAATTTTTTCCTCATCTCTGACTCAGCTCATTTCATGGCTTCCAGAGCAGTTTTTCATTATGCCCTAAGCTCTGGCTTTCTGCTCAATTGCTTTAAATACCAGCTGGATTCTTTGCTGGCTCAGCCCTGGGCTTCTCACTTTGCTGGCTCTGGCAGCATCCTGGGTTCAAAGTCAGGAAGGTACAGATTTATATTCCCAGCCCACAGCACAGCTTTTCACAGCCACAGATTTTCAGCAGCGCTTCCCTGTGTCAGCCCACGCAGAATTAAACAGGAGGCTCACATTAGGTCTAATCTGAAAGGCTGTTTCTTGTGAGATTCCTGCCAGCTCAGGGAATAGCAGGATTCAAAAGGAGCTGACCCTGAGGGAGCTCAGTAGAAGCTCCTACATTTTACTTCAAGGCTCAGTACACAGGGTTTTTTACAGTCACAACTGAAGGTACCTTAGAGGTTCCACTTTCATTCTTGTTGATTTTAAGGTTTGAAAATACTGCAAAATTGATACATCAGAACCAACAGCCATTTCATTTTCATTAAACTGTGTCATTTAACATCAGTCTGTCTGATGACATTCCCTCTCTACCTTTTCCACAACAATGCCTGCTGCCTGCAGACCTCCTACCCTGAGCTCTCCACATCCTGTGACATTCTCCATTTCCTTCAGCAAGTGAGAGCTCAGCCCAGCAGAACCTGAGGGCAGAGTTCATCAACCCTCTTTCAGGAAACAGGGTTTTTGCTGCTTGTTCTCTTGTTTTTGTTTGTTTTCTTAGACTGATCCTGGCCTGTCCCCAGCTCTGAGCAGTTTTGTGCAGGTGTGTGAGCTGGCCAATCCCCCTGCAGTCTCATGGGCTGGTTTGGATGTGTTCAGGGGTTCCGAAGTAATCCCTTACCTGCTCTTTAGTAATAGTTATTACAGGATCTTCCTCACTTCCTAATTGTCCAAACTTCTTTTCTTTATTTTTCATGTTCAAGACAGATTTAAAAAAGCACTTTAGTATCTCAGCCATTGGAGAATCAACAGTATTTACAACCCCCCTCAATTATTAACAGACTTATTTTTCAGACCATTATTTCCCTCCCATTCACCAGGTGTCTTTAAAAGAAAAGCTGTTCTCACCCCTTAGCTAAACTGACACAAGACACACAACAGTAGGTTTGTTTTTAGAATTATACATCTAGAATTGTACTTGCTGGTACCTAATCAGGTGACAGTGCTCAAGCACTCCCCTATTAAGCAGGAGGCTTTAAAAAAAATCCAGATGTAACCTCAGCAAGCACCTGGAGGCAGACCTGCTCCTGGGCTTAGAAGGGTTGTAAGGGAACACAGTGATTCCAGTCAATTTTTCTAATACCCTACACACACTTGCCTCATCCTTCCTCCAACACAGAGGCTGTTTTGCTGATTTTCAGAAAGACTTAAAGCCCTTCTCTGGACTATAGTGCTTCTCCTCAGAGACAGAAGAATGGCACACTCCTCCTGTATTTCTTTTTCAGGAGGAAAAAGTGCTGATTCCTAAAGAATTCTGTCTCTCTCAAGCAGCCTTCTAACAGAAGACTGCCCCCAGATCTCAAATCATAGACTCCTTCCCAATGCCAGCACTGAGAGAAGGAATCTGGGAGGCAGAAAATAACTACAGAAATGTAATATCCAAACTGCCTCTCAGGCACTTGGCTTCTACAGGCCCAGGAAGCTCAGGTAGTTGAGGGTGCTGCTTCCCATCCAAGGAGCATCTCGAGGCTCAGCACTGCAAACCAGGGAACCTGTTCTATCTCCTAGACTCTCCTCTCAGCTGGGATCCTGCTGTACAGCTGAGACCCCTGGGGAATCCTGCTTTGGCCCAGGAGCTGGCACAGGCCGGCACAGCTGCTCTGGAGAACCCTGCTCACTCTACGGGTCAGGGAGGTCACTGTGAGCCAAGGACTCCCCTTTGCAGAAGCACCCAGTGTGGAATACCTACTTGTGTTTTGAGCTCCTGTCTCTGGAGCCCCGGCGGTGCCCTCTGCTGTGGCTGCGGGAGCGGCT